GGGGTGGGGGTGGGGGTGGGGGTGGGGGGGTATTTTCGTTTACGGGTTTAATTCAATTTTCAATTGGGCCATTGTATTTTTAAAATTTTCTATTGGGTTTTTAATTTTGTCTTAATTTAGACCACTTTGTTCATTTATGTCACTTTCACATTTACTTTTGCCATGTTCACATCAGTGTCTAATGATAGACTATGTGATGGAATTGGACGAAATGACCGAAATCGAAATAAATTTAAATTGTACTAAACTAGTTGAGACAAAATTAAAGTACAGGGATCTATGGTTCAAATTATTTATTTTAAAAAAAAAACCATTTTCAATCGGTTTGATGCGTATACCTTATGTTTCGTCCTGGAGTCATCTAGGAAGCAGGTTCAATGTGATGAACCCAAAAGGAGAGCCATCTACTCTGACTATCTCGGTAATAAATTCACATACTATGAAACAAACTACATTGGAGAAGATTTGATGTGCGAAATGTGCCCTGGCAAGGGCAGTTTATCAACTACGCGACTAGTGCATGTTAAACTTCGCCACCGTGTGACCATGCTCCTTCCACTTACGAATTCTTTATAGTATGCATTTGAGAAGCTTTTTTTTTAACGAATAGAATAGGAAATTTTCACACACTACCTAAAAAATTAAATTAGTTTCCACTTTATTCTTCACTTTATTATATGATATGACGTGGAAGGAAAAAATTGGATAAAAAAGTCGATTGTATTTTAAATTGACAAATGGTAGAGTGTCATGTAACATTATGTAATCTATTATGTAAATCTTGATATACATGTAACAAGATCTTTATAACACAAAGTGATAAACAAAGTGTAACACTTGTAACAAATTATGTTGTGCCGTCGCCATTGCTATCGCCGCCGCCACCAAAATTGATTTTCACCACCATTGGAACATTACAATCGTAACACAAACACGAAGAGTTAATTTTTTACGTAGCCGTTGCCACTACACACCACCACTCACAAGCACCACATTCGCCAACATTAAATCAATCCATAAACCAGAAAATAAAAAAAACATAAAAAGCATTCAACTTAATTGAAAATTTTGAAAGTGTTGGTGGAAGGAGAAGGAGAAGGTGATTGTGGGCAGCAGTGGAAGAAGGAGAAGGAGGTCATGGCGGCACATATATAGGAGGAAGAGGTGATTATGGTAATGCCAATGGTCAGATGGTGGTGGAGGTGGTGACGATAATGGTGGTTAGCGACGGCCGCAATGGTGTTGATTTGTTAGGTTTGGTGTAGAATGGGTATTAAGGTTTGGGATAAAAATGAGTTTGATTTTAATGGTAGGGGTACGCAAAATAATCGAAAGCGTTAGAACCAAACTAGGGCCGAACAAAATAGTTCGGTTCGATTTGATTCTAAGTATGTTTTCAAATGAATCCAATTATTGGAACCTAGAATCGTCCGATTCTAGTTCTAGAAATAGAACCAAGATTCGAAACCATTGGAACAATTTTTATTTGTAAGGGGTTTTTTAGTTATAAAAAATTATTTCCTAAAGTCCCAACCCTTATTCAATTTTTTTCACTATAATTAACTCCCCCCCTCCCTCTCTCTTCAAAATTTTGGTTCCGAAATCAATCCGAACCAAATCGGAATGGTTCAATGCTCCAAATTGTTCGATTTGATTCCGATTTGGTTCCAATACTACAATGGAACGTAAAAGTTCCATTATCAAAGAACCATTGATTTTCGTTTCCAATTCTCGTGGAATTGGAATCATATCAAATCATGCCCTAGCCTAATAAATGGTACTTCGAGATTTATAAAAATGGTAGTGTATTGGGAATATTTTTTAAAAATGTCATGGGATTAAATTTCCATATAGAATTAACCCAAAAGGAAAAAAATAATGTTATTTATAGTGAAAGCTATCGATAGTCGCCTTACGTGACATGCACTTAACAATTTGTTATTTGATCCACGAGGTATAAAAAATTGCCATATTAATGTATCAAATAACAAACTGTCATATGTATCCCACATAGAAAGACTACTCATAGTTTTCGAAGGAAAAAGGTCAAGAATGGTTTAGTTTCTTCTAAGTAGCCTACCTACGGTCTACCTAAAAAACCCATGATAAAAGTAATAAGAGTACTTACAGAAATACCCTTACTTTTGGGGTCATTTTGAAAACTCACGAGAAATATGTATTAAACGACAAATATACTAATTTCATTCAATAAACATCTAAATATTTACGGTGCTAAACCTACAAAGCAAAATTCGATGAGCAGCTAAAATATCTGGACTCTCCCAAGCTCTAAATCAAGGAAAATCGAAAATTATAAGGGTCCGTTTGATGGGTAAAGGTGAAAAGGAATTTTAATTCCATGTTAGTTGGAAAATAAAAACACATCAAATCCATAGGAATTCGTTTTCCATGAAAACAAAGAAAGTGCAGTTTAAAGTGATTGTACCTTGGAATTTGATTTTTATTTCCACGTTACAATCAAACGGCCAAAATGGAATCCGTTTTCCTTGGATGTGACATTTTCCATTAAATTTGTTGCAATCAAACATGGTTATATGTTATACAAATCAAGTCCAAATAAGATCAATGACTACTTCAACTACCTTTCTTCAAGTTTTCTTCCCCAAATATGCAAATAATCCAACCAAAATATAAAGGGTTATATGTTTCTGATTTTTATTCAATTATTTCATATTTTGTTTGAAAGTTGTTGCCCTTTCTTATTTTAGTACATACAAAAATTTCATCTTTAGAGTAATAATTCTAAGTTAGTACATCATATTTGTATGAATTGAATTGAGTTAATATATATATGAAAAATCAATTCAAGTGATGCATGCAATATATTTATAAAAAATCTGTCACTTTTATATGAAAATGTCACAATCAATCTCCTTTGAATTTCTTTGAAGTAATTAAATAGATGCGTTCATGTGTGTTTTTTTAAATTTAAATATGGATATGAATTCAAACATTTTTTACATTAAAAGTGACGTGATTTAACGAATTTGATTGAATTAATATATACGAAAAATTAACTTTGGATCAATTCAAGCGATGCATGCACTGTTTGTGTAAATGAGGGTGAGAAAAAGTGATTGTTCCCTAAAAATGCTGCAATCTATCTCATTTGAATTCTTTAAAATCAATTAAATATATGCATACATGTATGTTTGTGAAAAAATTAAATGTGAATATGAATTGAAATTTTGTTTTACATTAAAAGGTGTGGTGTAATACTTTATTTGTGTTTTTTATGAAGTGTATAAGGAATTAGAATTTATGATGAAGTGGAATCGTAAGGCAAAATAATGATTTCATGATAATTTCGGGTTTGTCCATTTTTGATGAATTGATAGTTTAATTTGATTGGAAACGGGCCAAGGATCACAACTCATGGCCTATGGTCATGATTTACGTCGAATTTCGAGCAGATTCCGTCGTTTAGGCTCTCGATTAAGCGT